ACTACCGATTTATATACGGACATGTTAAATAAATGTAAATTGTATGATATATTTGAGTTCTTAGTTATGAATCTTACAGAGTGGTTCACGTAGTAGTGCTTTAATATATTTACCCATTTTTAATCTATCTCTATATATCTATATCATAATATAGAGCATTAAATATGGATAAAATTTTTATTTAGAACTATAGGGGTAAAATTTCAAGGATTCCCAAAATATATAGGGATTGTAAAGAATTTTTAGAAAATTGATAATTTTCCTCAAGTTTTTTTGCTTAGCTAAAAACCATTTGTTTGAAGCATCTACCATTCCATTCCTGAAAAGATAGACATTTCAAATAAATAGTTTTTTTCATAGGGCTAGCCAATGGCTTGAAATCAAAATGTAATTTTATTTTGTATTTTATGTACTTTCGAAAACACAAACATTTAGAACTTTAGATAAAATCCAATTTTTGGATGTAATGTAAGTATTATAATTTTTAAATTGATGGTTGCCGATGGGCCTTGTTGTTGGCTTTAGTGCTATGTCCTCACGGAATTGACCAGCCGTGGCCTCCTTTCTCTTATTATTTAAGTATATATGTATGTCATTGCATTGCCCTACATGCACATCACAAATTATTAAATTTGTGAAGTGCATGTAGTGCAATTTACTTTTTTCAACGCAATTGAAAAAAGTAAAGAGAATTATTCTCTAATTTAAAACTTTGAAATTATTCACAATAGCTAATTATAATTGTTGTTGTTATGTTGTTTTCTGTGAATAATTTGACATTTTGTTCTCTCTTAATAACATTTTCAAATAATTATTTTTTTTATGTTTGACTTATTTCTTTAACAAATATTTAAGTGAACTTTATTAAGAAATAATAAAAATGATGTAGGTACTGCTCTATATTAATGTTTGTTTTTTAATTAATTTTTTACATCGATTTTTTTCAGAATGAAGTTCACATTTTTATTTGTTATTCCTGTATACCTACATACATGTATGACATACCTAAATTAAAACTTTTTTTTTGTATTCCTGTTATATAATTTAAAAATTTTATCTATTTCATTTAATTATATGTAATAACTTCTGATATACATGTACACATATACTTATACGTATATATAAGTACAAAAATCCACAGGATGCTTAAATTTATAAGGAAAACTATAAACTAATTATTAATTGTGTTTGATAGGTGTACTAGGTACACGAACATATTTAGTGAAAACAAGAGATAAATATCTTCAATATATACTCGTATACATATGTATGTATGTATCTTTCATATTTATAATTATTAATATTTTAATACATATATACCAATACAATATAGTAAGTTAATGAAATATTCTTTTGTTTGACTTTTTATTATAGAAGAGAGAAAAAAAAAAATCATTTTAATATCTGCGGTAAGGCATGGAAATAGGATTATTGTCATCAAATTGGTTTTTAAGACTATAAATACTTGCACAAATTACGATTATTAAATTTTTATACTTAATTTACGATGAAAAATTTTATTTAATTTTATTTAATATATGATTTCCATAGTATATTTAAGATATTTATACTAAAGGAGAGGTAATTAAGTTGTTTCTATAAAAATGGGGGATGATTTTTCAATACCCAATAAAATACTATATTTAATTTTAGGCCATTTTGGACTAATATTTTTTATACTGAACGAGGAAAACTATAGATTACTATAGAAAAAAAATATGCGATAAAGCTTTAAAATGTTTGGAAAACTAAACCTCAACATGTATATACATATATTGCATGATGAAGAGGCCGACAGAATTCTCTTATATATTTAAAAAAACATCGTTTTGTATTCTAAATTATTTTAATATAGAAAGTTCTCTTTCATTTTGATTTTTCATATATGTAAAAACGAATTTCCTTTCCGGACACCTCAATTAAAAAAATTTTTTATTAAAATCATTTTCTAACTATACTCAAAATGTTATAGACGAGCGTTTCTCAAAATCCATGGCAACGTGACTCGCACTTGTTTGATTTTCAAATTTTTGTATTAATATTTAGAAAAATGTTTTTTATATACAAACCAAATTCATTTTATGACAATGCTAATAATACATTTACATTTTATATTTAAATTTTAAATCTTAATAATGACTTTTATATTGTTCGTGCTCCTTAACCAACTTTTCTACTCTTCCTTTTTATCGAATTATACAAACAAAAAACTTATTAAATTTTTATTTTTCAATATCACGCGACCATTTTTATACAGTTCCCGATAAAACTTTTGGCGCGCGATCCCCTGTTTGAGAATCGCTCCAATATAGACAACGAAATATACATATATGAATTTCTCAAGTATTTTCATTTTATTTTTAAGGGCAAGAGCTTTTAAATTTTAAATATTCTTTTTATAACGAAATTAATGTGACAATATACCACCATATATCACATCTTATTAGACATACCTACATATAAAAAATCTATTCCGTATTTTACACCTAAAATCCATAATTTTTAATTTTGATCTGCTATGCAGGGCATAAAAAAGCGGATTGAAACTTTTTCCAAATTTTAGATCAAGATCTCAAAACTCATATAAAAGCAATTTTTTAATATACAAAGGACTTAATTGTAAAATATATTATGCTCTTATGGTTTAGGGGTGAAGATTTAAGTCTGAATGACAATAATTATTAAGATAAAAAATTTTAATAAATGAAATTTTCTTGAAAATTTGAGAAAAAACAAACTCGTTTTTAATACAAGCGTTTTCATTTCCTAGAATATTTAATTTTTTTTTGCTTAGGGTGGGTGAGATTAAAATTATAGAAGAATTTTAAAAAATGAGATTCAAATTTTATTATAAAAATTATAACTTTAATTAAAGTATGCTATATTCATAAGAGCTACAATTAGCGAGGACAGGGTTTCTTCAAATATAATTCTGTTCTAAATCAAATTAAATTTATACTTTCAAAACTTTTGCTTGCATATATGAGAAAATTTTTACTTCTTACATAATAATATTCACGACATATTCTTTCTTAATTTTATTTATTTTACTTACTTTCTACAAAATATCCAAATTATCTTTATTATTTACATTAAGTGTATAACTTAAAGTAAGAAATTGTAGGATTTCAATCAAAACATTTACAAATATAATAATAACAATGTATACAAATGAAAGGATAATTTATAAGATTATAATAATTATTTTATATGAAATTCTTTATACTTATCAAATTGTACTCCTTTTCATCTCATTATATGATGTAATTAAATTATGTTTGAAAAGAAAAAGGAAAAATGAATATCCCTGCTTTTTTATCAAGTATTGCAACATGTTAATTGAGTAATACATCAGAACATATGTGGTGTTAAAATTAATTTCATTAATTAAAAATACAAATTAATATTATTCATAATTATTTTCATCCTATATGTTATTTTAATATTTTCTATTTTTAGAAATTATGAATTAAAGTTTTGGTCTTCTTTCATGTTTTTTTTTGGATTGGATAAATACAATATTTTCCGCCCAGGAAGTGGTAGTTTGTGGGTTCGAGTCCAGTTCGAAAAGGAAAAATTTTTTAATTAATTTTTCTGTTTTGATTCGTACTCCTGAATTCGTTCTCCTGAATCAAAACAGAAAAATTAATCGATCTGTTCTGAAGATAAATGATTGATAACGAAAATTTTGCAAATAAATAATGATTATTTATTTACAATATTTTTATTATATTTTAGTCACTGCCCTAATTAATGACTAAATTAATCAAATAAATTAACTAAATTAATTAATTTTTAATGTGGCGGCCTTATACATTACCAGTGCTGTCTTTTATTAATTAATTTAAATAAAATTATTTTTAAACTGTGTATGAGTATAAACAACATAAATTCTAATTATAAGAAATTATAAATTTAGTTAAAATTTATATACATATGTATGTACATATACCATTTAATAAAACAAAAATTTTTATACAAACTTTAAAAATATTCTTAAAAAATTTTGTATACTCGTATTAAATCAATGATAATCGCATTTAAGAATTTTATTTTGTAACACAAAATCAAATAATTATAGCCTTCAATTGTAATAAATTAAAACCATTTTTCAAAAACACGGTATTACAATTACATTTTAATTTTAAATATTTTTCAAAATTTCATTATATCAAATCACAAATAGCTATTGAATTGACCATTAATCTCTTAAGGAATCACAAATATTATAGTGCCCATAGTAATTATAGTAAAGAACTAAAAACGTCAGCATTATGTTTTAATTACATTTACTTTTTTCTGGTATGTACGACTTTCAAAATTCCAAAAATATTTAAATAATATAAATTTAATATTACAAAAATAATGAACACCACATATTACTATACAAACAATTACTTTCTTTTACAATAAAAATTTTGTTATGTAAAATAAAAAAAAATTTCACATTATGCTTACAATATTTTTTAACCATATTTTTCTTTTTACCACTCATTACGAGTTCATATACATAAATACATATATATACACAAGTACACACCAATCTATATGCATATGAATATGAAAATTTTGATATTTATGATTTTTGATATGAAATGACAATATCGACAAGGACATTATTGTACAAAATATTATAATGGTAATGATGACGAAGTCTTTGATTTTTTTTTAAAGAAAAATTTTTTATAATATATTGTACATGCGCAATTTATTTAAAGAAAATTTATATACATATATTTAATATATATATAAGGGTATATATACATATATGTCATTTCTATAATGCACTACACAAATACATAAAAAAAATATAATTTTATATTATAACAAAATCACAATATTAAATGATAAAACTTACTATATCTATACATACACACATACATAGAAAAATAAAAAAAAAAATTCGAAGAAATTCTGACTATGATGTTCTCTTATTCCTATATAATAAGGATATTTTTCTAAATTTTCATCATAAGTACAACAGGTTTCAATTCATTCACAATAAGTGAAAAAAAGAAGCTATACTTAATTAAATATTTAAAAAATTAAATTAAATTTATTAAAAAAAAAAATTAATTTTCATTTCCCTAACAAATAGAGGAATTCTATATTAACATTAAAAGTATATTTTATAAATTTTGAATAAATATTAAATATAAAGTTATTTTGTACAAAACAATTCTTTTTTTCCACAAAAAAAAAACAATAAATCAAATAAATATTTTATACAGGTTTGTATTGTAAATATTTACATTATATATTAATTATTTAAAAATTAAATTAAAAAATTAAATTTTTAAAAATGCTTTTTTTTGTGTTAATATTTTCAAATTAATTAAATTTTTAATAGAAATTAAACTAAAAAAAAAAGAAATTATGGATTTTATTGCGGAATTAATTTTAAAAAAACTATAAAAAAATAAGTGATAAATTATTTAATATTTTAATTTATTTAAATAAATTATTAAAATTAATAATTTAAGTATTTTGTAAATAGCTTATACAAATTTACATTGATTTTCATAAATATATTTGTGCTTATTTATAAAACTTAATAAAATATATTACTATAATTTTAAGTAATATATAATTCGGACTAAATTTTGTTAATTTTCATTAATATAAAATTTACAATTAGTCACATTAATTAAATACACAAAAGTCCTCGAGATACGATATCTTTTAATACGATATTTCAAGCTACGACATGGTAAAAATTTGGACCATTTTCATTCGGCTTGCGACATTGTTTTGTTTCTGATACGACATTCATAATTTTTTAAATTTTTTTTTTGACAGATTTTACTGATTTTTGAATAAAAATCTATTTCGAATTTAGTTATAAAGCAAATCTAAAGCACATTCTTCAATAATGAACTCTTTCTGGTTAAAAATACTAGTCAGTATAGTTAAAAATACGAATTAAAGTGATATATATATATACATATCAACTTAATCTGATTTTATTTTATTTCTCTTTCTCACCAAATTAAATTTGTTTTGGTTTCGGAATTACATTTGGTTGTTTTTTTTTTTTGAAACTTTGTTACCTTTTTTTTAAAAAAAAACAGGTGAATATAGAATAGTTTGTCTAATTCAGTTAAAATTTCTTAAGTTGTAGAAATGAAAACTGCATAATCAAAAACTTTCATTATAATGAAATTTTCAATATATACATAATAAAGTTAAATTGGATTGCCGATGAGAAAGCGGCTAACTATAAAATTTATTATAATTTTTGTCAATTACTTATTTCAAACAAGGTTTTTAAACACAATATTGCAATTTAAGAAATCACCCTGAATTAATAAATTTGATTTTATACAGGGTCATTTGGTATACCAACAACAAAATGTACCATTTGCTAGATAATCAAAAACGGGGGTAAAATATTATTCCGTAGTGGAATTTCAGAGATAAAAGGATTTAAACGAATTTTCGCAAAATTTCTACTAGTTAAAATTTTTTTGTTCATGGCTTCCGATCCGAAAAAAATGGTAGCTTCAAATATGCAGTTTTCGAAAGGACTAGTAAAGAACTTAAAATCAAAATATAATTATCAAAATAATTTTTTTTGCATATTTTCGGAAACACAAGCGTTCGAACTTTAGTAAAATTTCAATTTTGTTAATTTTGTAATTTTTTAGTTTTCTTTATCCCGATAATTTCTTACGAAATTTTAAAAAATCTGAAAATTTTCTTTACATAATTTTCTCCAGTTCTTCAAGACACAATTTAAGTCATCAAACGTTAAAAAATCTTTTATAGTTCTGGGAATATAGCAAAAAAAAACCTTCTGATTTCTGATAAACTCAAATATTGGCCGCTATTTTTGCTTTTTATTAATTTTAACTGCTATAATTTTCAATTATTATTAATTTTTGATCAAACTAATCATTCTTAAAGAAGCTCATATTTTTGAGAACCGTTGTTTTGATAAAAAAATGAAATTTTAAAATTTTTATTAAAATAGAATAAGTTGCTATTTTAGAATTTTTTTTGGAATTTTTTTCTACAAATAAACTTTTAAATAATGTACTATCTATTTTTGATCGTCTAACCTGGCCGTGGGCAAAGTGCGGCACTAAAGTCATTTGTAAATTCTTATATTTCTTATAATGTAAGAAACTCGAGTGGCCCGTACTCATACTCATATTAGCTCATACACCACAAAAGTTTACCGATGATTGCTCTAACCAATGGTTTATACTGCCTTATATCTTTTCGAATCACCCTGTACAGTCCACAACTTATAAAAAATACTATTACTATATGTACATACTTTTAAGATATTTTTCGATTTATTATAGTGAGTTACAAATCTAATATTATTCGAGATTTATATTCTTAGTAAATTATCGTCCAATTTCTATCAATTTTGAATTTGACTTTGAATATTTTTTTATAGTTGAATTTAATTTCACTTTAATGTTTCAATTTTTAATTAGAACTGATAGTAAGTTGTCTATAAATAGAAATAATAAATCCAGCGATTTTAAAAAAAATTCATAAAGAACTGCAAATATTTTGCTTTATTTTGCTTTTAAGTAAATTTAATTCTACCTTGTAACAAGTGTATTTACACCAAATAACAACTAAAGTGAATCAAAATTTAAATATATTTATCGTACAAAATAAAATCTACTAAAGTTTATTTTTAAATTCGAAAAAAAATATTTAAATATTTTCCGACATTGTAACTTGATTACGCATATCATAATGTTATAATGAAAATAAATTGGGTTGAAAAGCAGTTTTTTTGGTTTACCTTCCTTTACCCTCTATAGATGAATATCATACATCTTTAATATATTACATTTTGAGATTTTGTGAAAAATTAAATTGCTAACGCAAAAATCTTGTTAAATAAAAATTTTATAGCAATTTTATGATATTGTTTGTTTTTCCCTGTTAAATGATAAGATTATGCATCTTCTATTAGAACTTTATTTTTTGTGTACATGTTTATACACATATACATAGTACATAAAATGTGAATTCTTATTATTTTAAATCATTGTATTGTAAGAGATCCTGTTAATTTTTGGAAACTAAATTTTTAAATTTTGCAAATATTCAAACTAGAAATTTTATTCATTAAACATAAAAAATTCACTAAACATATAAGCATTATCCGAATGTCATAAGAATTTCCATATTTACACGATTTACTTTCTATTCGAAACTCAAAATAAAATATTTTCCATTTTTAAATGTTTCTCAGTTCAGGAGATCTCTGAAGAGCTTGATTCCTTAATATTTCTATAATAGGATTTGAATATTTTTACATTATACATATTTCTAACTCATTACACTTACATGCGTATGTACATATATATTCAATTTATATGTATAGTGACTACAACCATACACAATGATATTAGAATAGATTTAAATTTTAAATAAAAATAAACTAGAAGTATATTGGCTGTTAAAATCGAATATAGCTTTACAAAAGCCCTCTTAGAAGTTATTTTTTAAAAAAACCTAAAATATCTTCTTACTTAAAATTAGTTTCAGCTTCCTTTATTTTGAATAAAAACATATTGGCGAATAATAATATAATAAAAATTTAAATGCAAAAGAACATCTTTCCAAAACACTCTTCTTTAAAATAGCAATATTATGTAGGAGATCTTATAATTAAGGATATAAAACAATAACTCACATAGTAACAAAATAATATAGTTCAATAGTTCAAATAAAATATAACTTGGGCAATCAAAATGAAAAAATTAATATGTACAACAAGTACATGCAATTTTTTAAACAAAATGTAATAAATTTTAATAAATATAAATTGATTTTATATTTCTATACATATAAAATACAAATTAGGAATAAAATATTATTAAGGAAAATGCATTCGTATATCGCATTTATTGTTTATACAGAATTCACCTGAAGAAAATACCTACAAGGACATAAGATTGAAAATCTAATATTTTGTATGTACGAGTATACTTGATTAATTGAATTTGAACGATTTCAGAATAAAAAAATAAGAATATTTATTTTGAGAAATAAACAAAACAATTTAAATTATATAATATAGTGATGTTCCTTGAAAAATGTTTTCAAGCATTTTCTTTATTATTTTCTCTTTTTCTAAAAGTGAAGAACTATACATTCATATACATAAATACCTACGCAGTTAACTATTTAACATTTATATGGAGAAAAATTTTCTGTAATATTATATTATACGGTTGTTACTTATGACCAATATTCCCAGTAGTATTCCATTTTTTCTTTAACATTACCATGGTGTATATAGTACATAAATGATTTCGAATATATGATTTATATGTTCAGGAAATCAAATCAGTAAGTTAATATTAAATTTCACGCATAAACTTTATTAAAAAAATAAATATATAGCATTAAAATTACGTACTTTTCATAATTTAATAATATTATTTTCAAAGAAGTTTTATTATGATTTATTTCAAAATCTTAACACACATTGCATATTGCATAGTGTAATATTACACTTATTTAGGCATAAAATTAAGTACATTTCCTTGAAAACATTTTATATAAATATAAGTAAGTTACTTGAAAATTTCTTTGAAAGTATTTAAAATTGTATTCCGTAAATTAATTAAAATATTAAAAAAACTTATATATATATTAAATTATTATGAAAATTGAAAGAGTGGGTTAGTTCTGCATTATAGAAATTTTGTTAATAGAAAAAATCTGAATATGCGGAAAATATTTTATGTCAACATTTATTTCTTTAACTTTCAAAATTATTGACCTATTAGTTATAGATTCGTACTTTTCAATCTAAATAATTATTATATTTTGAAAGAAACCATTTTCCAAACTTCTAATTATTGAGAATCTAAGAAAATGCAATTCTATTCCTTTAATTAAATAACAAAATTACTGAAAGTTTTAAGATCTAAAATTTTATGAATATTTTGACAATTTTCTTCAAAATTTTTTATTTTGACGCAAATTTTATATAACATGTTTTTTTTCCCCTATTACACTCCTTGAAGGATATAGGGCTGATACATGATATCATAAATAGATAGGCATGCTTCAGTTTAGTACACCATTGGGTTTTTACCATATGTACTATATGCGTTTAGTTATTCTTTATATTAAATATATTTAATGTATTTGATTATATAATGCTTTATTTTTGCTGGTATTTAATAACAAATATTAAGGAAATAGAGGTAACTAGTTTTATATTAATTTTTTTTGTAGTATATTGTATATTAAGCTCCTATATTGAATACATAATTTTTATAGTTTAGTTAGCATGGGTTTGAACTCAAAACCCTTCGGTTGAATGATCAGTTTTATAACCAGTTCAATTATTATAACATATATGTATATTGCATGTAACACAATGCAATTTACTAAATATAGGTTTATATATTTATATTTACCTTCATAAAATATGTATTCAAATGTGATAAAAATTTAATACATAGCTATAAAATATGAAGTATGACAAATGTCCAAATTTCCTGATTTATTTCCTATAATACTTAAATTGTATATAAGTTTAATATGAAAGATTAGAGAATATTCGCAAAATAAAATTAGCCCTATATTAATTAATTTGAGAAATTAGAGAAAATTTACCAAAATAACTTAAATTTCTTACATTATAATTTCATTGTATGTACTTACTTGTTTAATGTTGGCGTAAATATTTTTGGAGCTATATAAACATGTACATGTAAATAAATTTGAAAAATCTACATAATTAACAAAATTATATAAATTAATTATAAAATATTAAATAAGCTATAAATATTACGCAAGTTCATATAAAATTAATTTGGTATAAATTATAAATAAAATGTGCTTAAAGCACTACTTTAGAATGTCTAAGCATTCATCGTTTTATAAAAATAAAAAAAGTATAATCAAATTTAACTTTTAAAGTCAAAACACATGTACATACATATATAAAATTGATATACTTACGTATGCACAATATAATATATTTGAAGGATGATATGACGTTTAATATATTATAACAATTCTTTTAAAATTAAATCACTAAGCATAAAGATAATCTGAATGACATAAGGATTTGCATATACTTACACAATATTTAACACATCAATTATTTTTGTATTTCCTTGAATTCTTTTTCCTAAGGAGATTTTGTTTTTTAAATTAATTTGAATGAGGCTCAAATATACTATATATATATATATATATATATATATATATATATATATGTATGTACAAACAGGCATACGTACATGCTTATATTTTAATAACGCATTATCTCAAGAATAAAAGCTAATAATAAATATATTAAATTATATTTTGAAAATTATTATGTCACTCATGCGAAGGATAACGCTAAAAATTATAAAAATGTAAGATATTACGGATTATATAGTAGGTACATAAATATGTATGTATATATATAGCATTATATAAGTACATATGTCGATATTAATTTATTTTTTATAAAAATTACAATTTATAATTTCCATGTACATTATATTTGTAAACTTGAGTTTTAATTAAGCTTGAATATTAGACGTAATTCTCAATTAAATAAATAATATAGAAACAAAATTTAGCTTAACTATTCTTAAATCTATTAATAATTATTATGTTAATGCTCAAAAACAATATGAAGCATGGATGTATACATAATGTTAAAATTAATTTTATTAATAATTATTATTAATAATGTATAAAAAGAGTTCATTAACATTACGAACTCTTTAACTGCAATACTGTAGGAAAAAAATTGTAAAATTCTATTAAATTCAATTACAAAATTGGTTTGAATGAGCTATGTGAATAAAAGATGTTTCTCATAAGATGGCAAACAGTTTCAGGGATGATTCTTTGATCAATTTCTAGCACTGACAAAAATTCTGACTTTGACGAGTTGTATCTCGAAAGCTATAATAAATAATTTGTAAGATCAAAAATAAAGAACAATCAATCGTCCTAATGATAACACGATGTTGTATTGTTTCGAAGTTAGAAGCATTTGTTTATATGCAAGAAAAGTCCGGTACAGGCTGTAGCTCGAAAAAGAGTATATAAGCACTCCATCCCCCCATACGATTCTTTGTTGGAAATTGATCAAATAATTGTCTCTAAAATAATTTGCCACCTTATTCGAAACACCCTACCTATATGTACATATATGTATATGCATTTATTCAAAAATTACAGTTTTCCTTATAATACCTATAATGTAAAATAGATTTTTTCTATTATAGAATGCCATCACAAATTGGAACAACAATCTTTTTAGCTTTTATGCTTTTCGTTACAATTACTCAATCATACCAAGCAACTACACCAACATTATGTGAACCTGGTGTATTGGAAGAGGTAGCTAATTAAAAATTTAATTAAAAATCATTCATTTTTTAATAATCAACTTATCTTTTTTACATATAAATTATATGTATATGTATAGATGCCACAACATATTAAAAAAGTTTGCATTGCTTTAGAAAATTCCAATCAATTATCTAATGCATTAAATGCCTATATTAAAAATGAAGGTAAGTGTATGTGTATGAATATATTATAATTATATAAAGAAAATTAATTAAAATTTAATTTAAATAATTAATGCACAAATTATGGTTTTGAAATGTTATAACAATAAAGTAGCAAATTTTAAACATAAGTTTAAGTACTTTCGAAATTTCGTTACAACATTATGATTTTATCGATATTTTAGGAGTTAGAAAAGAAAATAAAAGTTCCTAACGTAAAAATTTTAAAGAATTTTAAAATATTATTTAATATTTTTAATTATATTTTGTAAATTATTTAAAATTGTTTTCAAAAAATAACAACTTAATTAGTATGTTTCATTCGTTACTAGTCTCAACTTCTCCTATATACTCCCAATTTTCAACAGAGACGTAAATATTAATAACGGAGAAGGGTAGTTAAAGAATTATTTAGATTTTTAATACTACATACTTTCAAAAGTTGCGTTGACTTATTAATTAATTATTATTGGTATTTCTTTTATTTCAAAATTAAATTTTTAAATTATATTTAATTATTAAACCATTTTTCTTCAATTTCCTATTTGTTGTTTTACAGCACTAATGTTAAAAAGTGACGATTTATTAACAGCAAACAATGGAAAGAGAACTGATGTTGATCACGTTTTCTTACGATTTGGTAGAAGACGTTAAAAATCTTCAATAAAATAAAAAAAAATTATGCTTAATTTGATTTAATCCTAATATCAATATGATTATTATTGTTTCTCTTTTTTTTAAATAGATTAAAAAAGTTTATATTTAGTTGTAAAAAACAAAATTTAATGAATTCAATAATTTATACCATCAACAAATTAAGTATTTGTTTAAAATCAACGAAACATCCTGTAATGTAATGTAATGTAACGTAATGTAATCTAATGTAATGTAATTTTTAACGCAAATATAAAAAATAATTCTGAGACCTTTTTTTATTATTTTTAATATTTGACAAAAGACTTATGTTTATGTAAAACATAAAAAAAATGTCAGTACATAATAATAATAATAATTAAAATGACTAAATAATATTGTATTTCTGTGCAGCGAAGTGTAATAAAGCATTTAATATATGTACATCTATAAAAAATATTCGTTATGTATAATAATATTATAAAATTAATATTTTAAATAAATACAGAAAGTTTTCCTCTCAATTGGTTGCATAAAATAATTTTATGGTTTTATTTCATGTCCATGTGCATTTGTTTTAATAATGAACCTACTAGATTTTAGATTTCTTATATTATCGATATCTTGATTTGAATGGTAAATATTTTAAATATTCGATGTGTTTTCTAATATTCCAAAATGGTAAGAAACGTACACTTAAATTTTTATATGAAATTCATATCTATACTTGGTAATGAAAATTCAACAAATATCAGTTTGAGATTAAACTCACAAAAAGAAAGCAAGTAAAAGAAAAATTAAATTCCTACGTTTTCGGAAGATATTACATTTTAGGAAAGTTTTAGGTTAACTGTATAGGTCTAGAAGTATTAAACATTAAATATTCTCGAAATTTTTATTTATTTATTATATTTTTTAAAAGCAAAAATATTTAATTTAGTTTTTTTAATTTTTTAAAGTACATGTTTTCTTTAATTGAAAATATTAACTAAAGTTTCTAATCATTATTTTTTTGATGAAAATAGGGCATCTTTAGCACTTTTCGCCAGATCTGAAATTGAATCTGAAATTTCTGATAAATTTGTTGGGAATTTCGGAAGTTTAATGGGTTCTACATCGTCTCCAGGCTTAATTCCAAAAACAAAATTATATCCTATATTTATTCCTTTTGCGGCTTCTTTTAATGCAACATCACCATATTTCGCAGCTTCGTCTGGATAACATATTGAAGCAATAGCGCCCGCGCCAATACCCGTATATAAAACTCTTTTGATGAAACCGCCACGCAAAGAAAATATTAAACCTGCTAAACCACCAACAGCAATAGCACCAACACGGGGCATTGTATTTTCTGGTTGATTTAAGTAATCCACAGTTGCTAAAAATTAATATTGTTAAAAATATTGTTATTACTTAGAGTTCTAGCGATAATCAAATATTATATTAAAAGTACATATTTATATATATATATATATATATACATGTATATATGTATTCAGAATCCTATTGCATAAAAGTATGCACATCCTATACTAATAAATCTATAATAATTTATACATTATTTTAATAGATACTAAATTAAAAAGTTAGATCACAAAATTTACTAATGCTACTAAATAGTATACTAAAATATTGTTACACATATATTGATATATATGTTGTAGCTACTAATGCCTTAGAAATATTATTATAATTGCACAAATTGGAAAATTTTCGGTTTTACATACATTTCGTATGAGCCTTTGCAGTTTCAATATAATCTGCAAAATGCTGCTTTTGTGAAGCAACCGCATTGCATGCTGACTTTATTTCAAGTCTTACGGCTCTGATCCCACTTTCTATAGCACCTGGTTCTTCCAGCTTATGATGTTCATCACTTTTCCTATAAAATTAAGTTTGAAATCAATGATAAAAAAAACGATAGTTTGGTAAGAAAATACTTGTTTTTAGCATGTAGAGGAACATATAAAGGTAAGTCTGATGGTTTGCATTTATAGTGAGCAAATTCATCCTCAACTTTTGGGGGAACTGGCTTTTCCTCGCTCTTCTTAACAGCAGTCGCAGAAATGTATAATGGGACAGAACTAATTACTACCTTCCGCAACATTTCTGAAAAAAAAAAAACAAACGAATTCGAAATCAAATTTATATCATGAGCGAATATTGAATCGCGATCACCATTCAATTTTATGTTAAACAACATTATAATTTACTTTATACCCACTTTTCGTTAATGTTTTCGTATTAAATCTATATGAATTTCCTTTTTAATATTTCAAAAAAATTTTCATCGGTCAATTTTTTTCATTGCGTAACTGTCAAAAGAACACGTCAAAAGTAATTTTACTTAAATCAATTTCATGTTTATATTTTTGAAGGCTAAAACTTTAACACTCTAATTCCATCAACTGCATGAATGTATCATATAAATGTACCGTATTGAATGAATTTGTTTACAAGTTTCTCTGAAAAAAAATTACATTTATTGAATACTACTTTATGGCTTTATAATAATAAAATTCACCAAAGTAATTTTTCGTTAAATTTAAATTGTATTATCGTTGGCTAAAATATAACAAAATATGAAATTCATTATTTGCGTTGTCTTCTTTAAATATTTTGGTGTAAAAAATTATATGTTTAAAGATTCCTCTTAACTATATGTTTAAAGATTTCTATTAATGATTCCCACATTAGTAGCTACTATTATATGTACAAAATTTATAAGACTATCCAAGGTTCGCACACGACATTAACGTTACTTAAAATTTTTAGCAACACGTAAAAGCCACACGTACACAGCATTGTATATTATTTAAGATATCAACACATTCATGGAAGTAATTATTTGACAGTATTGGGTAGTTTATTTGCCATTTTCCTATGTATTTTATAAAAACAGCTGTTCAGGCTTGCCACATTTTTTTCGATTTTTGTGATTAGTAATTTTAGTAAAACCAATTAAAAAACACGCAACCAATAAGTTCGCATACGGCATTAAAGTTGCTTAGCATTTTTAGCAACATGTTATTGTAACAGGAGAATACAGTAGCATTGTATATTAATTCCAAGAGATCAACACATCCATGGAAGTAATTATTTGACAGTATGGAGTAGTTTATTTGCCATTCTTCCTATTTTATAAAAACAGCTGTTCATGTTTTTTCACATTTTTCACGATTTTTGTTTTTCATCTACGAGTTGAATACTATTGTAAACTTCATTAGAAATTTTTGTGTTTAACAAAAGAAAAAGATATATTAAAAATAAAAATGTCTGATAAAACTTGCATAGAAGAAATATCGAATAATGAAGAGGTGTACCATGATGCTTTAAATAAATCAAATGAAGAAATTATTGATGAAATAGTAAAGAGTCAGGGAGAACTTAATTTATCTGATGAAATTGTTACTGACAAAAATGATGACAAAGAAGAACATGAATCACCTGAGGTATTTAAAGATTGTGAGGAAGAAATATATGATGAAGAAGCATTAAAAGAAATGGAAAAAGAAATGACTGATGAACAAAAAGCTACTAACAAAGAAAATGCAGATTTGCTTAAACAGGAAGGAAATGACTTATTCAAAAATTGCGATTATGAAAAATGTTTAGAAAAATATACAAAAGCATTGAATATAGCGCCTTCATGTTATCCTAAAGATAGAGCAGTTTTGTATGCAAACAGGGCAGCCGCGAAAATTAAATTAGATTCAAAAAAATCTGCTATAGATGACTGTACGAAAGCAATTAGTCTTAATGAAGAATATACGAAAGCATATTTGAGGTAATTAAATGTAATTTTAAAGTATCTTAATATCGCTGTTGTATTTTTTTAGGAGAGCGAAGCTTTATGAAGAAACTGAAAAATTAGATGAGAGTTTTGCTGATTTTAAAAAAGTTTTAGAGTTAGAACCGACATGCAAAGATGCGCAAGAAGCGGTTCAAAGATTACCCCCCCTCATTGAAGAACGAAACGAAAAGCTTAAAACAGAAATGATGGGAAAATTGAAAGAATTAGGGAATGCAATTTTGAGACCTTTTGGACTCTCTACAAACAATTTCCAGATGCAACAAGATCCGGCAACTGGATCATATTCTATCAATTTCAAACAATGATAAAAAATTTTTAGATATGCAATTAATAAATATTTAACTTAAATAATATTGAGTTATATCTACTTAAAAGTAGTTATTACCACCTAAATTCTCAATTTATTTAACGTTATAATTAATTATCGGTTTCAAAGCTAAGACCTTATTCTGGAATGTGAATTTTCAAAATTACATGTTGGGCCGAAGTTTGCAATCTATCATAAAACTTGAGATAAATCTTTCTAGAATTCAATTGAGAATATTTCTATTGCTGCTGGTGTATTATAAGTTAATTTTATAAAAGCTGAAAAATAAGTTAGTCGTTTCTATAAATTTAAATGTTATAACAATTTGCAACTTTTGTGACATTACATGGTACAATATTTGAAAATTTTAAAAGGAAAACATGAAGAACTTTTAAAAAAATTTACTGCCTTAAATGCTTTGTTTTTGTTCACTTTCATTTCAGTTCTTTCTCATAAGCTTGAAGTCATATGTATACGTACATATGTACATATGTAAATGCGTTCACGCATAATTGTAAAATTTGTTAAGGATTAGTGTACCTACTTCGTGGATTATAACACTTTCAAATGTATTTGACATATGTAACTGTTTATTTAAAAAAATGCTTCGCATGTTTATTTAACGGTTCTTTTCCTTTTTCAAAGACATTTGTTAAAAATTTACCTTATTTTTTTGTAATCCGATAAGTTTCAGAAGACTATTTATGTATGTTTGTACATACATATGTACATACATATGATAAATTCCAAATTATTTCTAGGATTTTCTTCTGTAAGATTCTTAAATATAAACATGTACGCGGGTACTTTTTAAAAATTGAAACATTATGTAGTTCTGTTTGGTGATTAACCGATATTTTGATGGTGTAGCAATACTTGTTTCACGCCAAGTTCTAGTATAGCTCTTGATTTCTTTAACTTTCATTTAAATTAATGTGCTTTCATTTCCCTGACTATTAATCGTCAAAGCCACTGGGTCTTCACCACCTTCATAAATATCATAATATGTATCAGTTAAGTCTTAAATCGAAACAAAGATATGAATATTGTAAAAAGTAAAAACAAAGAGAACGAACATTCATATAACGGGTAACATTTTGGCTTTTTAGTTTAGTGATTTTATTTTTGACACATCACATGTGATTGATTCGTTTTATTTTTCTGTTTACGAAAAATCAGTGTACATTTATGCTTGCTATTTCATCACGTAAATTAAAGGCAAATGCATTCACTTAAAAAATTGAAAAAATTATATTTGGTTCTTTTGAAAATTATTTTTTTTTTCTAAATTTTCCTAAATTGAATTTTAAATTTTTTAGAACAAAATGTCAAAAATTAAATTTCAGAACAAAATTTTTTCGATTTTCTTTTGACAATTTTTTAAGCATTTATTTATAAAATATAAAGCAACATAAGGGAAATATGTTTACATATGCATACAAACATAAATTATATTATTAAATTATGTATATTAAAATACGTTTTAACATATGCCTGTAAAAAAAAATTCTTATAAAAAATTCATTATCACATTTCTTTTAGAGAAAATATAAAACAATCTGGCAATATTTCACAGCTAAAAGCAAATTGAATAAGAATGAAGTAAAACGGAATAAAAGGTAAATTTTTGTAAAAATTTTGTTAGTCCGATTTAAAGAGTCGCTCTAGTTGTATGGTTTAAATTTTCTATTCTGTGCGATTAGAAATATTTTAATTCAAGTTAGTATATTTGCCGGTTCAAATAGCAGTCTTATAAATATTATATATCAAAAATGGCTTCATGGGTTGGAAAAAAATATAAATTAGAAAAGGTTAGTTTACAAACCATACTTGATATTATACTACTAGTCGAGAAAATTATCTATTTTAAATTTTTTCTATATTACAGTCAGATAACTTTGACAATTATATGAAAGCGCTTGGTAAGTACCTAAATTCTGTATACCTACTTATAAGAAAATAAATTTTCATGTGCTTTTAAATTTAACTGTAATAAGATAGAAAATTTATGTAAGATAACAAAATTTAAAAACAAGCATGTTTAAAAATAATATTTAATCCGCGTGTAGAAACCAATTAGGTACAGTGAACTATAGTGTCATTCATTAAATCATCATATTAAATCATAGAAAAAAACATACTAGTTTTAAAACTACTTGTTAAAAAAAAATGTAGATTTTTGACACGCGCATTTCCAAAAATAGAACACTAACAAATTTTTGTATTTGAAGGCAAAAATTAAATACGTTGCACGGAAAAGAATCAGTAGAGTATAAGAGTAATCTTATAAGAATTTTATAAAAATGATGCTCTTTTTTTTTTAATTAAAAAAGTTATACGCAAGACATTTTTTGCCGGCATTTTTTATGTACATATATATACATATGTACCTACTACATAAAATTATCTACCTGCCTATGAAAATGAAGAAGAAAAAAAACTTCCAACTATGTACATACTTATATAGTGTGAAGCATTTTAAAGTTATTTTAACTTAATTTCAAATTAGTATTTGTGCTCGAAAATTATTGTATTAACAATGAATAAGAATTTCTTTTGTATGTATAGATGATTCAATATTATTTTACTAGTTTAAAAGTATAATCACGCGATTTCCATTTTCCAGTATACTTTTTTTGTTTTGGCCAAATATATACATAAATAAATATCGGATGATAACCAGTCTATAGTGTATAAATATAGGATAAAATTGTAGTAGAATTAATTATGTATATGTATTACAACAGTACAGAGTGATGCTGAAAAAGTTATCACTTAAATTAATTGTTCCACCAGATTATTAGGAAAAACAAAAAAATATTACATATTCATACATACTTGTGTGTATGTATATGTTATAATGTCGACATAATTTATTTATAAATTTTTGTATTTATGAAATTTTCTTAAATATAATTTAAAAATAAAATGCGTTTGATTAAATGCAAAATTGTTTATCTTCTTTTATTGTACATACATACATAAGTATTATTAAGGTGAAGAAAATATTAATTATACAAAAGAAGCTGTAGAATTTGCAGTCTTAATTTTCTCACATGAGAAATACTTAGGCCAGTGTTTAAATTCAATTATTTTCAAAACAATTGACATTTTCAAATAATTTTAAGATATTAGATTTTACAAAACATGCATAATTATTAATTACATTACTTACATACTTAGTTTTTATACAAAATCTTTTAGTTCCTAATTGATATTAAGCGCCTGCATTTATGCAAATCTAAACCGAATGATATAAATTTTCATTAAGTTTAAGTAAACAAATTATGTATATATATTTAACATCTAATTATATATTTTGTGGAAGTTCATAATGATGATCATAAATATTTTAATATTTGAACCTTATTTATTATTAATTTATTCTAGTCATATTAATTAAGCGGAACATTTAGTATGCAACATCAAATAAAAATATGTACATACATATGAACCTCTGAAGTGTAGAAATATCAAGAAATTATTGTTTTATAATGATGTGCAACTATTGATTTCAAAGCTTGAATGAGATCTTGAATTTCAAATAATTTATATGTACATATACATATCTACATGTTTTTCTCCCTGTTTTACTATTATTTTTTAATTCTTCCTTCTACATTTATTGAAATTAAGATTTTTAAACGGTTCTCATATCCCTCAAAAAGCGTCCCTTTTTTGCTTTTAATTTGTTACCCATTTTGAGGGAAATTTCAATATTTATTTATTTCATACAGAATTATCCGGACTCAAACTACATTTAAACCTCAGAAATATTCATTTTTTATGTTTAAATTGCAAATCATGTATCACGAACTAAATAAATAAGCAAATAAACTTAGTGATGCATCAAATGCAAAATTTTAGTGTTTTCAGTAAGAAACTATTATTGCGTTAAAATTTTATACAAATTGGGTTTTAAATTAATTAGATATTATACGTGTTAGTTGTGAGGTTTGAAAATTACAAAAATAAAGTTAGTACATACATATATACATATATATTTATAGGTATATAAGAATTCTTACATATTTTTTTCTATTTTTATTTATAATTGATTCTTACTAATGAAATACAATAATTATTATGATGATTAAAGTTGAATTATCATTTAAAAATTTTATTAACTTGGTTCACATTTTATTAAAAAAATTTTCATTTTCAATAATATGATAAAGTATTAAAAGCTATTTTTATAAATTTCGAGTTAATTACAATAATTCAGTTATTTATACAAGTGATATTCAAGTATAATTACTTAGGTAATAATGAAAAATGGAACAAACATTATTATAAGGTTTTTTTTATTATGTATGTATAAAGAATAGGTAACTGGCAAATATAGCGTTCTTTTTCTAAAAATTTTGTGAAAATGTTGGAGTAAACACTGCAATTTTTTTATTTCAATTCGACATATTAATGTCATTGCAATTATTGCATTATTGTTAGACCTATTAAAATATTCTAAGTTAATAGATTTTTTCTGCTCCTGATAATTATTCACAGTATATAATCAAAATGAATGAGCCTTGTGTCCGCTCATGTGCCATCACTGTTTTTATTAACTAAATTTTTAATTGAGATCTTTATGTTAAATTTTAGCCCTATATTATTTTTTACTTATCAATATTTTATTTCTTATAAATAAGATTAAAGTTATTGTTTATTAATATAGTGGAAATAAAAATGTATTCCCGAATAATTTATTACTGGAACAAAAACGTCGCTTTTTAATATTAATTTAATCCCATATCTATTCAATATTTCTATATTTTACATTTCATTTAACATATATAATATGCATACAAGTGTTTACTTAATTTGATTCTAAAATATTTTATATTCAGTTGTAAAATACAGTCAAACACCTTTTACTCAAACTTCCTATAACTTATTTTGGTTGACTTTACGATCTCATATTATTTATTAATTGTATTTCTCTCATATTCAAGCTTTTCTATTTTTCACATTCAAATTGATTTGAATTTTTAAAAGCTCCACTCTGTTTTATTATTTTAGTTATACTTATTAAAGAAATTATTGCAATTATTTATAGCATGTTTAATTTAACTTTAATAGACTGATAAAAAAATTCTTTGATTTTTCAATAATGCAAATGAATTGCATTATTTTTGAACTTGGAACACATTTATAATTTTAACATTATTAGTATCATAAATTATTTTTGATATTGAATTATTAATATTTATATATTTTTTGATAAAATTTTTCGATTTAAATTAAAATTTTTACAGAATAAATCATTATGCAATTACTGTGTATATTCATCATAAAGTTATAAATTTGGTTAGAATGTTGCATATGTACAAGTACATGGTTGCTTAAATATATGAACAATTTTTAAAGTTTCACTTTTACAAAAATTTTATTGCTTTTAATAAAATTTAATAGCTTTGATTAATTTGAAAAGATAAAAATTATTCTTATCCTCAAATTATTCCTATGTACATCATATATGTATAAATATATTTACATAATTTTTATTAAGGGAAGATTATATTATGGTGTTTGACAACAAAAAAATTTTTAATCGATTAGAAAGTTTTTTTTGACATATTAGAGAATCTTTTGAATTAATTAATAATGCTGGTTTATTTAACATTGTTAATTCCATTAATTTAAAAAATCAATTATAATAGCTCATTCAAATCATAAAAATTCTCTGAAAACCGATTTAATTGTTTAAAATAAATATTTGCAATTTATAAGTAAGCGAATTTTTCTGCTTTACAACCTTAACAATAATTTATAAGTCATATCTAGAAACTGTTAAGTTTATATTCAATTTCAAAAATAATAACAGCAAAAGCACCACCATTACTGTTATAATTAAACTTGTACATCAATATTAAAAACTTGAGTACACGTTATGACGTAAATTGTTAAAAATTTTAAAGGGGAAAATTCCATTGAATTGATCATTATACTTTTGTGGTCAGTTTCGGCTCATATTTTTATTTATTTGAAAGAGAACAGCAACCTACCTTAAAGTTATTTCGAAAACTTTGAACATTTTTGTAATTTCATTATCATTTGCATATCACGTTTATAGTAGCAAATATTTTCACTTTTATTTACTTGTCTGTTTCATTTTACAATTTATGCAAATATGTATGTACATTCTATAAACTTGTGATTTCAGGTTCTATAGGTTTTAGCCCATAATTTTGGAACTTAGTAATGTACATGGACTTAAACAGATTATAGGGAATAATATTATTGGAATATCCAAATCTAGATCAAGCAGTATTGTTTACTAACATACAAGAATTTATGTACATTCTATAAACATTCTACATTTACATTTTACATGTACATTCTAAACATTAACTAAAGTTATAGAAACACTGAGTTTCTACGATTTTTACAAGTTTAGTCGAATTGTTTTTATTATAGTCTACAGCAGTATTTAAAATCATATTACATATTTATTTTAAAATATAACATACATATTAAAATACATACATACATATATATTTTCAATGAATTTTAAAATTAATTTTTTAAAATTTTTATAAAAGGAAAAATAGATCACGTATTAAATAACATATTATTTTTCTTTTTATTTTTTTGTAAAGTTTTTTTTTAATAAAATTTACATAACATTGTGGTTTTTACAAATATTTTTGAATTTGATACTGAAAATATGTTGGAATATGCTTATACTCGTATTTTAAAAATTATTCAAATTAAAACAATGTGATACTTTTCTTGATTATTTAAAGAAAAAAAATTTTTTTTTAAATCCGCACTGTTGGTATCTTCAAAGTATGTTTTTTTCATACAAACTTTGATCGAAATTTTTAGTGCAAGAAAAACATTCTGTTTTATTTCATCGTTGGAAGGTACTCTAAATCTTTATTACTACTTTCTTGGTATAACAAACAGGACAATTAATTTA